TTAGCCCCTTTCTTTGGCAGTTCTCATTCAACTTTTGAATCTCTAAACTAACTATTCTTCATTACATTTTTTTCAAACAGTTTTCATATTACGTAAATTCTTCATCATTTTCACAATTTTATCATTCATTCATCACATTCCTATTCGTTGTCTGAATGTTCGCGAACTTCTGATTCTTTCTGTTTGATAAAATTGACTGAAAGTATCAGGTTTAGTTCGTAGACTAGGAAACGGAACTTACGTATATATAACTCCACATCATGTACCAAACCTAACAATATAGTTATTATCCCCCACTCTCTCTCTATCTGCTTCTTACCCTCCAAAGCTCGACTTAAACGACAGTCACACATTCTGAATCTCACGTCCGAGTGTGGCTCCGTTTCTCTTCGCGAATCCATCAGTCGACAGAAACGTAAAGTAAAGAGACAGCAGAGAGACGAAAATACGAAAGACAGAAAGAGAGAGAGAGAGAGAGAGGGAGAGAGGGAGGGAGAGTAGAACGAAGGACGCGTCTGTTGAAGGATCCTACATATGCGCATCGTTAGAGAGAGAGCGGGGCTGTCAAGTTGCGCAGGTGGCCACATTGGACGTGGATAGATGGGCCACGGCGTGGGCAGCAACGTAGCCCCTGGAGGCGGTCGAGCCCGAGTCTCTCCCTTGCACGGCCGCCTCTCACCGCTGTTCCTGTTTCTCGCCTTTTCCAACCGGCGTCCTACTACCACCACGCTAACCGTTCTCTCTGACCGCCTTCTCTTTCTCACTGGAGAACTCGAAAAGGCCATTCCACTTGGGTCCACGCAAGCCCCCGGAAGACTTACTCTCCCGGCACACGTCACTCACTCGCCTGGGTCACCGGAGCCACGTTTCCCTCCGCTCGCCTCGCTTTTATTGCATATATCGCCTCAACCTTTCTCTCTTTCTCTTTCTCTCACTATCTTCTTCTTCTTCTTCTTCTCTCTCTCTCTCTCTCTCTCCTTTCTGTTTCTTTTCTTCCGAACAACGAGTCGGTTAACTGGTGCACTCCAATCACCTGCACGCACGTCATCATGCACGTACGATGTATCTACCTATACACACTATAGTAATAAAGTAACAAGAAGCTAGAGAGAAACGAGGAGCGAAACGACGAGGGAAATAATATATCGAAGGTGAACAAAACGGCACGGTCGCACGAGGGCCTCGCGTCTCGACGTCTGACGTGGATCCGCGCCGGCGGTAATCATCGGTTGCGATCGCGTGTTTGTCTCGCGAGGATGTTGCTTGAGAAGCTGGCTTGAGAAGGGATGCCTCCGGTGCATCCCTTTTGCTTCTTTTTCAACCACTTGCAACGAGTTGAACTCACAGAATACGGATGACGCGGACGTACGCGTAGATGCTTTTGGGCGAAAGGGGGTTGTTCTGCGACTCGTTTTCTTCTGTGTTACATTTTCTTCTGTACGTTAGTTTCTAGGTAGATGGTGTTTGTTCAGACTGTTGGAAATTAATTATTTCTTCGAACGTCTTAATATTTTATTTATCGATCCCTAACAATGATTTTTAACTTTATATCAATTGCTACATGATGCAAGTAGCAGCAAATATAAAAGAATTCAACTTGAATATCG